ATTCCTTGTTGAGGTATCTGTCCGTATGCGTCGGCTTCCTATATACTCTGTGTCCCAGTTTACCTGAGGGTAATCTTTCTGGAAGGACGTCGAGGAATGCAATTTTGTTGTCCTTCTCAACTTCCATCGTAAACTGTATCCTGGGTTCTATTGAGTTTAGATGAATAAGGAAGTTTTGGAGCTCTGCTTGTCCATGGTTCCACACAACAAAAGTAACATCTACATAGCGAAATCAACAAGTAGTTTTTTTTGGCAGTAGAGTGATGTCACTGATATTTTTGATGAAATGAGTGGAGTCTTTAACATAAGAGCTGGATTGGTCAATCCGTGGCTGAAGAAGTCTTGTGGGGTATTTGGCTATGCTGTACGTGGGCGAATCTATTGCACTTACAATGGGTCTGAGTGTGTTGCCAGTTTTGTGAATTTTCGGAAGCCCATATATCCTATGTGGTAAGGTCTGAGATTTGATGAGTTTCCTTATGTTTTCCGGGTCCAATGGTAGTGCTCGGACGAATTGATTGGTTTTTCGCAATATAGAAGCAGTCAGGGGCTGATGAGTCGGCAGGGATTTTGGTAAGTTTCCCGAAGGGCCGCTTGCTCCCGGGTCGGTTGAACCGGCCCGGAAGCATATACAGAGTGTCCCAGGGAAATCAGTCCACCCCGATTCTTTCGATTTGAAATGAAAATCTGGTTTCCCGAGCCGGTTTTATGCTCCCCATCCGCCCCTGGAAGCAGTGGGATTGCGCTTCAGCTTTCTGTAGGCGGAGGAGTCTAGCAGTTCGGAAATTTTTCATTCATAGTCAGTCACGTTCATGATTACCGTTGCGTTTCCTTTATCCGCAGGCACGACTAGTATGTTCTTGTCTGTATTCAGGCTGCGAATAGCTTTCCTTTCCTCGTATGTCAGATTGCACTTTAGAGGTTTCTTATCGCCCCTGGTTGTCTTCTTAATCTCGATTGTAACTCGATATCGTCATTAACTTCTATGAAGTGAGCGTTCTAGGACTACTCTGATTACTACAATTCCCGGAATTCCCAAAGAATCTTCACTGTGTGTGATTAATAAACTAAGATTCAATAATTAATCGTTGTGTCTTACTACACTTCCTATCCTCTCACTAGCCCTTAAATTCTTACCCACGACTTCTATACTGAAGAAACCTACATTCAGGACTCACTGTCCTGAAACACATCAGCAACTACGCAACACTAGATACAGGGCGTATCCGTCCTGCACTGCACTGCACTGCACCTGCATTGATCCGGCACCGATTTGGTTTTGGAGGAAATCAACAACTTATTCAACCACTGTCTGACGACTACGTACTTTTAATGGCAAAATGAATTCTTTGAGCGCAGACAGATGGAGTCGCAAGGGGGAGTCCACTCGGCCCGGTTGTCGCCAACTTCTACATGGAACACTTCGAACAAAAAATGGCACTGCGAACGACCACAAAGAAACCTACTTGTTGGTTTTGCTATGTAGATGACACATTTGTTGTTTGGAACCATGGACAGGCAGATCTCGAAAACTTCCTTAATCATCCAAACTCAATAGAACCCAGAAAACAGTTTACGATGGAAGTTGGGACACAGAGTATAGAAGGACGCCGACGCATACGGACAGATACCTCAACAAGGAATCCAATTACCATCCTAGGCAAAAAAGAGGAGCCATTAAAATCTGACAGGGCAATCCGGATTTGTGAACCTAGATACCTTCAGGACGAGATGCAATACCTAAAATCAGCACTTAAAGGAAATGGGTACTCCAAGCAGAAGATAAATAGAGCTATAAGACCGAAGCAACAGCGCACAAATAACAAGGAACCAGCACAGTTGGCAGGGAGAGCCTTTAATCCCTATATCAAAAATGTCACAGATCGCATAGGACGAACGCTAGAAAGACACAACATTGAGTCCATCTACAAGCCCACAAGAACAATTCAGCAAAGTCTAAGATCGGCCAAGGATCCTAGGGCACCTCTTGAAACGGCTGGCGTCTATAGAATTCCCTGCTCTTGTGTATCTGTCTATGTAGGAAGAACCAAACGCTGTATCAACACTAGGGTCAAAGAGCATAAAAGAAACTGTCAGCAGAAACAGATATATAGATCAGCAATCATCGGACACGTGTTAACACAAACAAACCATGGGATTCGTTTCGATCAGACTCAAGCATTGGATAGAAACAAACATTCCAACACCAGACTCCACAGAGAAGCCATAGAGATACAGTAACATCACAACAACTTCAACAGAAAAGAAGAGGACATGAACCTCAACAAAGGCTGGTTGCCAGTTCTCCGAAAAATAAAGACCCTTCCTTTCCGGGAACAAGACAAGGAAAATAGCGTAATACAAACCACGCCCACAACCCTGGATATAAATAACGCAGGTTCGACAACGTCGAATCCAGTCATCGGAGGAACACGGAAGAGATCACTTCGTCCTCTGTAGATGTCTACTGCAGCAGTAAACGAAACGTTAGGTAGAAATATTACTAGACTACAGCATTATAACCCGGAAAAAACATTTTTACTAGATTTGACCGGCCCTGAAAGCCTTCATTCTTTATAGAATATTCTGTTTTTTTCTTGAATCTTCATTTTAATTCTAAGTTTTCTGGCACATAGAACACGATTATTTTTCTAGAAAAATTACTCTGTGGACTTGTTCTTCGATGTCGAAACCCGTAATAAAGTTACTATATTCTTGTATCACTCGCGGTTTCCAAATGGAGCACTTTGGAAGTAGGTATTTTTCACAAAATCCGGTTGTTAGGTTGTTTTTCGATTTCAAATCAGGTGATAAAGTCACTATTTCAGTTCAATGGAAGATCACTGATTGTTCCCACTAATTAGCCCAAATTAATACACAAATAGGCCAGTTTCACATTTTTCAAATCATAGTGTAGTCATTCTGATGTTCACTTGGTCAATCATAAAACTGGTAGAGGCAATAGGTATTTTTTAAATTTTCCTTATGTGAGTCTGGCTTAACCACAAAAAGTTTCTTGTGAAAAACTTAGGTTAGGCAGCTTTTGTCAATGTCAAATGTAGTTGCGGAGGCATTTTGTTTGATTTAGGGCGGGTAATATAAAACTAATTTGACAGATAACTAAAAATTAACTTCTGGAATTTCATAATAATACCAGAACTTAACTTTTAGTTCTCTGTCAAAATAGTTATATAATACCTACCCTTGAAGATGATGCTGAGTTGACTTTTTTGTCATTTTTGAGGTGATAAAGAAGGTCGATTTACACAAAACAACACAATAGGAAAATGCATGTACCAGTTTAATGATTGGCCAAGTGTACACTTTAAAAAAAAAAGACGATTATTTTTAAAAATGAAATGATTTAAAAATCAAATTTTTAAACTGCCTGCAGAAACGCGGCCTCGGACTATGACGTCAGAGTCCCTAAAATCAATAAAAATACGAGGATAACGAATTTTTCATTAGTAGGTACATCATGCCAAAACACTGCGTTAAATTGAAGTATTGTACTATAAAACCGAAACTTAGGGCCGCTTTTACAAGTAGAGCTTAAACTCCAATATTAAGTTTAAACTACAGTTTTATAAAATTGACACTTTTACAACTTGGGTTAATCGTCAATCCTAGGTTTAAACTTTACCGTTGGTTAGGGGTTGGTTTAAACTACAATCCTAAGATTATAACCCTATTTTTGGGAAACTAATCAATCAACTGATTGTTTTCCAGAGAATCCTTGTTGATTTTGACCAACTCCTTTAATAGAGTAATTTCTTGTTCCGAGAAATTTTGATTCCTTTTTTGTAACAAATCCATTTTTTCAGATCAACACAATAACCACTCAATGTAACAACTAACCACTTTTAAATTTTAAAATTGATGTTTAAAACATAGGTTAGGGACAATTTCCTCTTCTTTATAATGTGGCATTAGCAATTATTCCAATTTTCCCGAACTTTACTGACAGATGTGAAAGATGGTATTTTATTTTAAACATTGGTTTAAACTTTTGCTCAAACCGCCGTTCAATCTGAAGTTAAAACTCTACTTGTAAAAGCGACCCTTAGTAAATCGCAATCTATTTGCGTCCTTTATGCTATGAAAAAAAAAAAAAAGGATATAGGTATAATAAACTCTTGTTACCTCGTACAATTACTCTAAATGTTTGTCTCCATGTTGCCAAATCTTTCTCAAAAAAACCAATAAAGTTTATATGTCAATTTCTACAAGAAAAAAAAATATATATCAAAGTTTTGAATTTTTAAACGTACCTATTTGTAACATTATTATATGAAATGCCAAAGTATATTGAATCTTCAACAGTCGACTGAATGGAAATTTCGCATTTCTAATATGGCAGCAAAGCGTATGAATATCGGCTTTAGCCAATGACAAGGCGTTTTCAGTCACGTGATTTTGTTTAAATTTGCTGTTTTGATTTATCAAATTTATTTAATTCAATAATCTGACTAAAATCTTGCAAAATATTGCGTCAAAAAGTATCATAATTTGCCATAATCCCGGCACGTGAAAGTAGCCTGTTGTCTTGCTAATTATCTCACTAATATGCTCAAGTCCAGTTTTTTTATTTATGGTTTCGCCGCTTAATCCAAAAAATTATCATTTTTATTAGCAATGTTGCAAAAAAATATTGTCTTCCAATGAACATTTATTTGTTCATGAGATGCCAGCTTATTCACATTTAAACCTGTCTTCTTAAAAAAATCAGAGTTTATAGTAGCCAATTATTCCTAAATTGAGATAAATCACCAACAAGACAAGGAAAATTGAAACATTAAACAAAAAAATTGGTGCAATTTATAAGGACCAACTATATGCAATTTGACTCCATATTAAAATAATTGTAGTAAATTGGTGATGCAAATTTGTCAATAAATCAACATGATCATACAATTTATATTAAGGCTGATTCATCATTAAAAAAGTAGCTTTAAGGGATTACTTACCTGCGTAAAATGTCTGCCAATCAAAAAAAACAATTCAAATTCAAATATTTTTATTTACAATGTATTCCTGAGCACAGACATTGGAAAAACAACTTTATTAAATTTTTTAACATATAATTTTGTATCAGTCATACAGTTCAAAAAAAAAAGAGATGTATAATGTAGAAAATCTTAAAACTATAAAAAAAAGTAAGTACAATGATCATTTTCAAACAGCCAATTTTATCATTACCCTGACTATTTTTGGAGGTCGAGGAGGATGTCATATGAAAATGATCAATATAACTAGCACATAAAACACTAACAATAATTGAAAAGAAAAAAACGGTATACATAGAATAAAGTTATTATCTTAAACTTAATACAAACTAATGGCACCTTTAAAAACACATTTTTAGTTATTTAAAAAAAAAATATATAATATATATTATATATATTTGTTTATGTTGAACAGCACAATTATTATTATCAAAGTCACAAAGAAAAACAAGGTTGACTGAACTAATATTAAACATAAAAAAAAATACTTGAGATTGATTGCAACGGCACTATTATCAAACTAACAAAAATTATTGGAAGTTGATCGCAAACGGGAATAGAGCAGCTCATTCTGAGATTTCTTTAGCGCTCTCACCCCATTTAAATCAGACAAAATAATGTAATCGAATATGCGCTGTCTTCTAAATTTTACTCAAATAGAATAATATTTTTAAAAGTTGGTACCTAGCATTAAATTTTTGGTTATATTTGCGTAAAACTAAAGTTGATTAAAACAATAATTATAACATATAAGTACTTACGCGAGGCAAGAAGATATGTTTACGTCACAATTTTAGGAATTTAACCCTACATTCAGTGAAAGTCTGTAAAAAAATTTTATACAGAAAAAATATTTAGGATAGCCAGAAAAATCAAAAAATTAAAATCCAGCTAGCTATGTACATGTAAAAAAAAACTTTTGGTTGGTGCAAATGCACAGAAGACAACAATGACAGTTGCTATGCACTATGTAGCTGCCTCTCTATAAAATGTTCTTTTGCGGCCAATAGGAATGTTAACCATTTTTTCCCAATGCTTGTGTTTTTATTTAAAATTGGCTCTGGTACTAAAAATAAGATACAGTAAGTACCTAGTCTTTGGCTATGGCAAACTCGTTAACAATAAACTCTTGGTTTATAACGTATTACTTTGCCGCCAGGCCACAAAACTTTTCCTGCAAATTTAATTTCATCCGTTCCTATGAAACTTGCTAATGATAAACCATGAAAATAGCTACCAACAATAAGGAAATATTGCTCAAGTATTTAAGCTGTAATTCAATTTTTCGTTTTTAAGCCTTGAGGTTCACGGTTCAACTCTGCTAATGGGAAAAATAGCCAAACCCAGTCGGAAAATGTTTCATTGATTTATTGCTCAACAGCATGAGCAAAGTCTAGTGATTAGTTTTTGATCTAATAAATTGTGACGTAAATTAATTGCAATGAGAATGAGTTTCACAACCCAAATTAATTAAAAACTAAATTCAAGAAACAACTTAAATAATAAATAATATTAGTATAGGCATCTATGTGCTTTGATTGATTTAAGTAATGACCGTGCGCAAATGTAAACTAGAACTCTTAAATTTTTTTTATTATTTTGCATGAGCCTAATTCGATTTTTGATTTTATTTTTATTGCCATCTAAGACCTAAAACGTATGCGGTTAGCTACATTAAAATATGGAACATAAAAAAAACTTGCCTAGTTTTCTGACAGCAGGAATCCCCTTATATCAAGAGCATACCAATATGTGGCCTGAAAAGCGGCCGCTTTGCACACGGTTCAAATTAATCTCCCACGCCAGCCCAGTGCATGAAGTCGGGTGGCGAGCGTACTGGTAAGTCGCGCGCATGCGCCTTCACGCGAAGGTTTCTGTCATCCGTCAACAGGACTACATCTCGAAACAGATGACGTGGCTCCCCTAGAAACTTGAAAATGTCCCCGAAATCAATTAAAAAAAACTATATAATTTTGTTACCTGCTCTAGCAGTGACATTTTGTTCCTCTTTGACATGATCCTTGCAAAGAATTAAACAAGTTGTTAGTATTTTATCGTCGTTTTTCGTTGTGCCATCCCACGAGTCACTTTCTTCCGTGGTAAAATTGGTCGTCGACAGAATAGCACCATTAGTAGTGACACATTTAACAGATGCGTGACGAATTTTCAAAAACTCTAAGGCCCTTCGAGAGGCCTCTGGCACCTCTGGGTTCATTTTATCTTGTGCGAATAATGGAACGCCTTTACTGAGGCCTTCTAGTTCACTTAATACTGTGAAAAAATCCACGATTTGATTAGAAATTTGCAGATTGCAACTACAAACAAAATAAATATCCATAGGGACCTGCTGATGCTAACTGTGTTGTACCTACACGCAGTGGCGCAGCCAGACATTTTGCCTGGGGGGAGGGGGCACACACAGACCCACTATCCTTCAAACTTTTCATGATATGAGCTTTTTGTCTACTTTATTATTCAATGGCGGATACAGTGAGGGGGCAAAATAATATAATAAAATTAAAAAAAAAAGAAAACAAAAACCATATTTTAAGTTTTAAGAATGTTTAGAAAGCTGGAAATCTATAAAAAAATTCCACTTTTGTCCCAAGAACTTTAACCTCAAACAGTATATCATTAGTGGTTGAGTTGATGTATTTTTTTTTTGTTCTAATAAATAAATATTCATACAAAATCAATAAGATCATGTACAGGGTGTTTTTTTATATATTGACACCCCACCTACATACAGGCTTTACCTTTACAGGTAGATGAAAGGTGTAAATACAAAATTTGTACAGTATTGAATAAAGAATGAAGGCTTTCACGGCCGGTCAAATCTAGCAAAAAAGTTTTTTCCGGGCTATAATGCCGTGGTCCATTAGTATTTCTTCCTAACGTTTCGTCTACTGCTGCGGTAGACATCTTCAGAGGCGGTGTGGTAGAGGACGAAGTGTTCTCTTCCGTGTTTCTCCGATGACTGAATTCGACGTTAAGGGAACTGCGTTATTTATATCCAGGGTTGTGGGCGTGGCTTGGATTAAGGTATTTTCCTTGTCTCGTTCTCGGAAAGGAAGGGTCTTTGTTTTTCGGAGAACTGGCAACCAGCTTTTATTGAGGTTCATGCCCTCTTCTTTTCTGTTGAAGTTGTTGTGGTGTTTCTGTATCTCTATGGCTTCTCTGTGGAGCCTGGTGTAGAAATGTTTGGTTCTATCCAATGTTTGAGTCTGGTCGAAACGAATGACATGGTTTGTTTGTGTAAGCACGTGTTCGGCGATTGCTGATCTATAGAGATACAGAAACACCACAACAACTTCAACAGAAAAGAAGAGGGCATGAACCTCAATAAAAGCTGGTTGCCAGTTCTCCGAAAAACAAAGACCCTTCCTTTCCGAGAACGAGACAAGGAAAATACCTTAATCCAAGCCACGCCCACAACCCTGGATATAAATAACGCAGTTCCCTCAACGTCGAATTCAGTCATCGGAGAAACACGGAAGAGAACACTTCGTCCTCTACCACACCGCCTCTGAAGATGTCTACCGCAGCAGTAGACGAAACGTTAGGTAGAAATACTAATGGACCACGGCATTATAGCCCGGAAAAAACTTTTTTGCTTGTACAGTATTGGCTAAATTTTCAAGATCCATGGTCAAAAACAAAAATTGAATGACAGAAATGTAAAATGTTGCAAGCTTTCAGCTTTTTTCTAATGGGATGAGCTATATTTGGTTCTATATTCTTGACGAACCCGATTCCAAAACTATATAGTTTGTGTATATTTGGTTGAGTCGTCCCCAACATATTTGGTTCTAAAAATTTTAAAAATACTATCAGAGAAACCAAGTACCTCAAATTTTACCTGCAGCTTTCACCTATACAGGTACAATGGTTCACATAATCCGTAGTAGGATAGTATTTTTTCCTACGAGTGTGCGCAAAGTAGTACTTTTCCGCACGCATTTTCGTGCTCAAAGTTACACTACAGGTACAGGTACGGAAAAGTTTTAAGAAAATATCTTAAATTAATAAATATGTAAGTAAAAATATTAACTTGCTTGCCGAACTCCGCTGCTGCAATCGCGTGCGGAAAAGTGCTACTTTCTACACTAGTTAGGAAATATATTACATATTACAATTTTTGGAGCCAAATATATGAGAGATTGTTCAATCAAATATAGATCGGGGCATTGTGGTCTTGAAGAATATAAAATGGAATATAGGGCATCCCATTTGAAAAAAAGCTGGAAGCAAGCAAAATTTCACATTTCTGACATTCAAATTTTGTTTTTGACCATGGTTTCTAAAAATTCACCCAAAACTGTACAACTTTTGTATTTATACCTTTCTTCTACCTGTAAAGGTAAAGACTGTAGGTGGGGTGTCAATATTTAAAAAAACACCCTGTACAAATAAGTGGATTATTGTGGAACTTATGGGTGGACCTCTGCAAGACGAACGCAGCGAGTTCCGCAGCCATCTACTCACCAATATTATACTGTTGAACTGTTCAAATAAGACACTCACCTGAAACGTGTAGTTTTTGAACTAATGATAAAAATTCACAACTGAGTGAATCAGGTTAGTATTGTACTCGAACAACATATTGGTGAATAGATGGCTGAGTCCACCCATAAGTTTCGCAACAATCCACTCATTTGTACTTGAAAAACTTGTCACAATATATTACTAGTTTAGTAAAGTAACATTACTAATTCCTGTTAAAAGGCAAATTGACAAAAAGTGGATAATCTTATAAATTCTGACTTAATATAATAAGTTATTGTTTAAGTACAAATAAGTGGATTGTTGCGGAACTTATGGGTGGACCTCTACGGGACGAGCGTAGCGAGTTCCGCAGCCATCTAATCATCAATATACTGTTGAACTGTTCAAGTAAGACATTCACCTGAAACGTGTAATTTTAAAACGAATGAGAATAACGCACATTTGAGTGAGTCAGTTTAGTATCGTAATTAAATAACATATTAATGAATAGATGGCTGCGGAACTCGCTGCGCTCGTCCCGCAGAGGTACACCCATAAGTTCCGCAACAATTCACTCATTTGTACTTGAAAAACTTGTCACAATATATTACTAGTTTGGTAAAGTAACATTACTAATTCCTGTTAAAAGGCAAATTGACAAAAAGTGGATAATCTTACAATTTCTGACTTTATATAATAAGTTATTGTTTAAGTACAGAGTGTTTTTTTATATATTGACACCCCACCTACAGCCTTCACCTTTACAAGTAGATGAAAGGTGTGAATACAAAAGTTATACAGTATTGGCTAAATTTTTAGAATCTACGGTCAGAAACAAAAATTGAATGTCAGAAATGTGAAATGTTGCATGCTTTCAGTTTTTTTCAAATAGGATGCCCTATATTTGGTTCTATATTCTTGAAGAGCATAATTTCCCGATTCCAAAAATATACAGGGTGTCACGAAAGGTTTGTTACAAACTTCTAGGGATGTTAGATCTCATAAAAATAAAGTTTTTTTCTTAATAAACATGTGTCCGGAAATGCTTCGTTTTTAAGATACAGGGTGTCCCACGGTGGATGGCGTATTAGACGTTAATGGAAAACTGAAGAGCGGATCATTTTGAAAATTTGGCAACCAAGATAAACAACCCTAATCTACACTTTAAAAAATATTTTTGTTTATGCGGTGTTGCCGCTTCTACTCTAAACCAGTGGCAACATCGCTATTTTAAATGAAACACCCTGTATGTGATTGCATATTTGGATTCTACGTAAAATTCTGAGCAGATTTCATGTGATATACTCTCTATACCTAAGTTCAACTGTTTTGGAAATATTGACAGTTGAAAATTGACTTTTTGCAACTTTGACAGGCTGTAAAACCTGAACGGTTAATTTTAGAGGATAACCGATTTTACATTCATATGTTAGATTATTTTTATAAACTATATATCATTTGACACCAACTTTGAATTTGATCGGAGATTAAATTTAATTGGAATTTTTAATCATGGATTAAATTCAAAGTTGGTGTCAAATGATAGTTTATAAAAATCTAAGACAGGAATGTGAAATCGGTTTTCCTCTAAAATTAGCCGTTTATCTATATTTGGTTGAGCCGAATCCAACATATTTGGTTCTAAAAATTTTAAAAATACTATCAGAGAAACCAAGTACCTACCTCAAATTTTACCTGCTGCTTTCACCTATATAGGTAGAATAGTTCACAAAATCAGTAGTAGGATAGTATTTTCACAATTTTTATAGAGCCGAATATATGAGACTGTTCAATCAAATATAGACAAACTATATATTTTTGAAATCGGGGCATTGTGCTCTTCAAGAATATAGAATGGCATCCTATTTGAAAAAAGCTGGAAGCATGCAAAATTTCACATTTGTAACATTCAAATTTTGTTTCTGAGCATGGTTTCTAAAAATTCAGCCAAAACTGTACAACTTTTGTATTCACACCTTTCTTTTACCTGTAAAGGTAAAGGCTGGGGTGTCAATACATAAAAAAACACCCTGTACCTACCTATTTAAAATCACCTTATTCTCCTAAATAGTTCCCCCATTCCCATATTTTTATGGGCCATTCCTTCGAAAAACCGTATCTTGCACAATGCGCTGCCAAAACTAACCCAAACTAACCAAATCTGGCTTACTTTAACTTAAACTGCCCCTCCCTTTCAAAAGGCCTGTATCCGCCCCTGTCATTATTTTTCTTTTTTTTTCTCTGAAGCCTTTGGGAGGGTCCGGACCCCCTGCCCCCCCCCCCCCCCAATAGCTGTGCCACTACCTACACGTTCAATGATACATGACCTAGACTCAAGAATTCGATATTGCCTGTATGTAAGACTTTGACTTTTTCAATCACTGTTGCCGTTGGCAAAATAAATAAGCTTTCAGCAGAGGTTTCTGTAACTGCGGGAAGACTTTCGGTTCCATGAGAACTAACTAGTCTTCAAGTACGGTAATATCCAAAATTTTAAACGAATGTGGCAGGGGTTTTCAGTCACACCTACATTTCATAAGTCCTCCCGACCGCATCTAAACATTCCGGTATAGGATTCGGCACCTAGGCATATTTCATTGGTCCGTTTGAATTCGGACCGCCAATTGATGCGGAGTGCCGAAATCGGTACTTGAATGTTGAACGGTGCTGAGCCTCAGGTCAGAATGGTCCATTAGTAACAGCCATGTGGAGTGCCGAATCTAAGGGCAAAATGTTAAACAGTGCTGAGTATCAGGTCCGAATGTTGCCAAGCGTTTGGCGCGGTTTTTATATTAAATCAGCTGTCCACCTTCTTCGTGTTCCTCTTAGCTACAATTTTGCGGCGGATGCGGTGTATTCCGCCGTTGCTTCATATGTTCTTGTGCTTAAACATGCAAGATAAGTTTGCCTGGATCATTTAAACACTTTCAATGTGGTGAGCAAATTTACAGAGCCAACATTTTGGAGGAAAACGATATAAAGCAATGGATAGAAGAGTATAGTGATATAACATACACGAATTGGAATGTGAAATCAGCAAAAAATAATTATAACAGATTCAAATGCAGGTTTGTGTTCAATGTCAATTCAATGACGTAGAATCTTCTTGGATGCGAATAAACTTTGGAAAATACATTTTTTTGATATGTTTTTGTCTGCCATCATAGTGCTTATAAAAAAGTGGATCAAAGAAATAATAAGAATGGAAAATCCAAAAACTGCTGTTGCCTGGCTTCAATAATTGACATTTTAAGTTTAATTAAAGCACCACAGATACCAAAAAAAAAGATAAATATATTAGAGTATTTATTTTCAAAATTTTCTACTCTAATTTGCCAGGTTTCTATAATCCCCCCCCTGGGTCCGCCATTGCAAATTATTGTCCAAGATTTTTTGAAATGTATTGTTGAAATAAAATAAATGCGTAACAAAACGTAAATAAAGTTTGTTTGTTGATTTTGTGCCGCGCTAACGGAGTAACATTCCAACCTGCAGCTGGGCACTGTTTAACATTTTGACCTTTGATTCGCCACTCCACATAGTATGTATATATACCATTCCGACCTGAGGCTCAGCACCGTTCACTATTCAAGTACGGATTTCGGCACTCCGCATTAATTGGCGGTCCGAATTCAAACGGACCAATGAAATATGCCTAGGTGCCGAATCCTATACCGGAATTTCCCAAACCCTGTCCAAGTTATTTTATTTGAAAACTCGTTTTTGAATTCCAAGATGGCAGTTTTGAAAATTCATTGAAATCTAACACAAAAATTAAAATGTGGGCTAGTGGATTTTTTGTTTGTTTGCAGAAATAAAGTAATTCAACTTGGTTTCGCAGGGAAAATACCTGTATGAATGAAGCATTAAATTGTAACACAAATATGTAAAAACAGAAGAGCCAGTCAAAATAATGGCGGCAGTTTTTTATAGAAATATGCGATTTAATGTACAAATAGAAATTCTATCAGACAGAAGAAAAATTAAAAACTTATTTATAGTTGAATTCCCTATGCCAGGATAAAATGTGATTGACATTGTTTATTATTTGTAAAGAGGGTCGTATGTACTTGAAATAAGACACTTACCTACAATTGGTACCATGAACGTAAACAAATTGGATTTGGCTAAAGTCCGAATAATGCCCAAATGGTCGACAAAACAATTAGTGTCAGGAACTAGGTACTTTGGTCGGATTTCGAGATAAACACTAACGATGGATTGGCTCAGGATTTTCTGAAACAAAAAAAAAGAATAATGTTATTCAATAATACGAATGCGCAATTTCCATTACATCTTGCCGTATTATTGAGATCCTATTCACGCCCAAGCATATAGCAACATACAAACTTATCTTTGTCCACTTTATGTAGGAATTTATAGTAACCGGGAAGAGTGCCGAGTGATTTATTTAGAAGATTAAAGCAAACACCCACATCCTGTGTATGTTGCATTTCGCATGCATACCAATCGTAGGTATAACATTTTAAACGATTCTCATCCTCCCATACAACGGTGTCACTAATGTCACTCTTAAAACAGCAGCGCTGACCATTTCCTGCTACTAGCGAAACAGCTTCTGCTATTTCGTCTCTGCTTCTTCTTCTTCTTCTTGTGGTATTTCAAGTGTTTAGTCAGAGTTCTAACTTTTAGTTTATTGCAATATTGGGTATAATTAATCATGCTAATAAAGTTATGCATATAAGAAATTATTTCTGTTTAAAACAACATTTAAGAAAAAAGAAAGTTTCAATATAAAATATTGGCTGAATAAATAACTTTACGACCATTCTCTGACTAAAGCATACTGTGATACGTTAACGGTAATGGTATCGGGCAGTGTCGCCAAAACGGCATCCGATATGTTAATGCTCTTTGAGATTTACCGAAGTAATGTTTTATTGCGTTTTCTCATTTTATTGGTCTTACAAAGTAACTTTATTTCTTACTGTATATTTATTTTTGTGATTGATATTTTCAATTCTCGTCTAGCTCTCCTTGTGAATTTGGTTTAAAAAATATTGTTTTTTTTTTATCATTTCTCTATCCTCATCTTCACCGGCTAGAAGCCACTGGTGCCTTCCTTGTAACTTTTCTTTTTAATGTTTTCCTAAGTAGGTACCTAATAGTATTGGCCAGGGACGAGGCAATAAGGCATTGGCATAGGTCTCCTGGGAGCGCAAGCAGGCAGGTAGGCTAATCAGCGATGGGCGACAATGGTCCTGCTGCAGTGATTTATTGCTCCGCACGTCTCGTAGTTAATCCGAGTTACTCGCAGGAATGCAAACGGTCGGACGAGAGCAAGAGCTGCCACCGTGTCCTCCTGCTCCGGCTGCTACAACAAACTAGGGACAATGCTGATGCTATTTTGCTGCTTCTGCATTGGCTTGTCCCAATTGTTTCACAGGAATTGTCAGATGGTTCGCTGAAGATGCTAAGGCGGGAGGGAAATTTTCAAACAGTCGATTATTGTTTCCATTTTTTTTTTCTGACTGGTAATCCCTTGGAACCAAAGCACTAGAAGCCGAAGTAGTGGGTCTCACAAATTTCAAATTTCTGTCCCTCAATGTATTTGCGGCATAAATCTTCTAATATTCTGTGCCTTAATATCAATAATAAGTCAGCACAGTCTATTTTGTTGTTTAGTAGGTTGATTATTGCAAAGTGATTTCTCCGATTTTGCAGGGATGAAAAATTGAATCTATTTCTATCCACCTTGGCGTGAATAGAAACCCATCATGCCTAAACGTATTTCAAAAACTTTCTTTGAACTTTTTCCACATAAACCTGTAGCCAGGGGACCAGACGAAAACAGAATATTCCAACTTAGAACGTGTAAGCAAAATATGAAGATTTCAGAGCCACGCTATCAGTAATAGTATATTACAATCCGAGACGGAAAATACTTCATTGCTGGTCGAGAGGTTATTATAGTTTATCGAGACGCGAAGCGTCGAGATAAACTCAACCTCGAGACAGAAATGAAGTTTTCCGTCGAGGTTTGTATACTTTTTTATTTTCAACCCTTAATTTTCTGATGCAAAAACTAAAGATTCTGTTATACGAAATTTTCATATAGTGTAAAACTGGCCTTAGAAAAAAATATTTCACTTTTTTTGTCAATGTCATCAATTTTGACGATCTCAAAGGCCCTGTAAAGGCCAAAACAAAAGACGAAACCACAGGAAACCGCAAAATCAACAACCATAGATAAGATCAACAACGCCTTAACGACGGTAGTTTTCGCTCAGTATTTTTGCGGAAATAATAGATTTTCACTAGATTTCTCCCCGTTCTCCCCAAAGAAATGATTTCGGAAAGTGAAGATGAAGCGATGGATTGTACCCCACCTGAATTAAAAGAAGCAGCAGACAGGATTGGAGAGAGTTTGCTTCCAGCAAAAAGCAAATTTCGGTACGAAAAGGCTTTTCAAATATTCGAAGCATGGTGTAGCCAGAAAGGAACGAGAAATACTGCCTCGGAGACCGTTTTGTTGGCGTATTTTGGCGAATTATCTAAGGAAAAGAAGCCTTCGACTTTATGGTCGACTTACAGTATGTTGAAAACCATGATTAAATTGAAAGAGAAAGTTGATATCTCCAATTACGCAAAACTTATAGCTTTTTTGAAGCGGCAAAATCTGGGCTTTCAGCCGAAAAAGTCGAGCGTTTTTTCCAGAGAAAACATTAACGAGTTCCTCACGAAGGCAGCTGAAGAATTCATTAGCATCAAGGTAGGTTTTCAAAAAATATACAAAGAAGATAAAAATGCGAAAATCAAAATGATTTTCTGTATGCTATAGCTAGGTTACCCATTTTATTTTTATCTGGTTTCAGGTAGCGCTAATTGTTGGTGTGTCGGGTGCATGTAGGAGCGATGAACTAGTCAAGATGAAAATGGAGCACGTCAACGTTTTGGAAGGAAAGATCGCTATAGAAATTCCACACACAAAAACTTACACAAGTCGATCGTTTATCATAAGCGATCCAGATTGGGTTGCTATTTTCCACAAATACCTCACTTTGCGGAAAAATTTGAAAAATGACAGGTTATTTGTTCAATGGCGAAATGGGAAATTACATAACCAAGCAATTGGCTATCATTCAATCTCAAAATTTCCACATAAAATAGCTGCTTTTTTGAAGCTTCCAAAAATTGAAACTTTTACAGGGCATGCTTTTCGTCGTACTTCCGCAACCTTATTGGTTGACAACGGGGCCGATCTATTGCAACTCAAAAGACTGGGAGGGTGGAAATCGAGCACGGTTGCTGAAGGCTACATAGAGGCATCTTTGGAGAACAAAAGTAAGACTGCTCTGATGCTATCCTCTACTTCCAAAGGTATTCAGTTGTCCAGTGCATCCACAAGTACATCACATGCGGAAACTCATCCGCAAGCGCAAGAGATAATAGTTCCAAACGAAACACAATTCCAACAGGATGGTCTCAAGATTTCCATTATAAACAACAATGCTAATTTAACAATTAATGTAAATAAGTGAATAGATTTAATTAGTTCCATGTAATACATGTGGTTTTATTATTATATGTGAGAGCTGTATGAAAATTATCAATTTGGAACGAGCAGGGAAATGGGGACGGAAAAGCATTTGCCGTCCCGGACGGAAAATGCTTTTCCGTCCTAGGCAGGCATATGCATTACCGTCCCGATAAATGTCAAAGTCCAGAAATGTGACACTTTCAAGATTTTGAAAAACCTGCAATGTCAACATTACATATGTGGTTGAAAATAAAATCCTTTGCACTCCTCAATATAAAACCATAAGCCTTTGAAGCCTCGGAAATAATGGTGTCTATATGCTTTGAGAAACAAAATTGTAACTCAAACACTACATAAGTGGAAAATCAATAAGCATAATTTATACACAGTGTCGATTTACCATAGGAAACAATACATTTAAAAAAATGTGTAATTAAAAAAAAAAAAGTTGATATGGTGCTCTAGAGGCGCTTCAGGAGACGACGTGAGACAACGAAACGTCTCCTTTGTGGTTGAAGAGCAGAGAAAATTATGAGCCTACTAAAGTTAAACAATCACAACGTTTGGGGATTGGATCGAAATTGAATTGAAAAATAGACCACACGGCATTTACTTAATTTGAAAAGTTTGTCAAGCATTTTTATAATTTAGCTGACAACTGTCACTTTTTCCCATATAGCAATAGTGGAACTACCTGAAACGGACACTATCCTGTTTAGTACGAGAACACGAGTACCTGATGCATATCATATCATCATAAGCTATCGTATAGGTGTAGCAGTTCATAAATCTCTTTGGAGTGAGATTATAATATATTATTGGGATTAATAATATAAATACATACCACTTAAGGGTACCAGCCTGTTTAGGTAGGTTTCCTAAATGGGGATAGTTAATGTACGTGTCCTAGTTACCCAGCTATCTATAAGTCTCTCTTCTATTTTTGATGATTGCTTAATTAGGGTAACATAGTTTATTGAACAAATGGCTAAAAAAAAAAACCGAAATAATTATTGGGTATTGATTTCTAACAAAACCACCGTAATTTTATATGGTCACAATTTGTCCACTGGCCAAAACTGATTCATCTCGCGACGTTGACAAATTTTGGTTTGTCTCGGGGTGAAACTAGCTGGCCACACCGCATGAGGGACCTCAGGAATGCCCCCCAAAAACAAAGTCTCAACCCCCTGGGGCTTTTAAGAAAGATAACTTTCAAAATCCTTTATCGTACCAGAGTTTTCGAGACTGGTATTCAACGTTAATGGAATAATCAATCGAAAATCGACTATTATTATCGGAAATTCCTAGAAGGGAACTATCTAGAAGAAGCAGGGATTATGTGTATACCCTCCATCAAGACAGACGAGAGGGAGAATAACAGTAAGAAGACAGACGAAATGAAAAATAATCAGAAAAACAGGAGCGACTCGAAATTTTTCAGGACCAAGAAGACAGACGAAAGAAAAGAATAACGAAAACGAGAAAGACTTTATGCTTGTGGATGAATTAGCAAGACATATAACGTACATAGTACCCCTTCTCTTTTTGACTAGAACGGCCATGCCAATAGATCACAGATCGAAGAGTGGTATTGTATGGGGATCAAGTGTTGTACGAGGATCAATTCTGGGATCCCTTTTGTTTATACTCTATGTAAATTATCTGGCGGTAAAGACGTCCAGAGAAGGATAAACGAAAATGTGGACATGTTGAAAAGCTGGTTTTACACAAA